TTTTTTTTTTTTTTTTGTTTGCTTTGTTTTGTTGTTTTGCCTCATCCTTTTCACTCCTCTTTCTCACCTCTATCAGTTTTCCCAATTTAGACAAGGTTTGGATAAAAGTTGACACAGACTGAACAGCTGCCCCTTGGTGGGCTGGAACATTCCTTGAAAAGGCCGAATTGCGAACGGTGCTCTTTGGAAGTTTCTCATAGCACGTTCACACAGCACTCAGAGCCAACATGCTTGCCCTAAGAACACTTCAGTTGTGATGACCCTAACACGTTTTTTTGTCCTGCACTGTCGTCTCAGTTTGAGAGGCTTCCAACTTTCGAAATGGTATCATGTACGTCAGATAAGTGCGCGCTGTCACATGAGTAGAAAACAAAGTCGCTACAGAGACTCAAAAGACACAAGGAGGAGGCGAAAGCCGTCACGTCTGTCCACCGGCCGAGATTCTGTTGTTTGTGCGGAAATTCTTTCGCGTGGATGCAGGGCTGGGTGACTAGTGGAAATGACACACCGGGTGGTCTGCAGGCACAGCACAACAGTTCGGGGGTCCCTCCTGCTGTGGTGTGCTGTGAGTGAGCGCAGGTGGGGTCCCCACCAGCAGACAGACCAGCAGGCAGCCTGTGCTGTGCTCTTGTGACAGAGGCCTGTGGCTGGTTACTCATCCCGGTAAACCAAAGGCATTATGGTGATCTCAAAATATTTTTGGTCTCTCTACAAATTATCGTTATTATGGCAGCACTTTTCTAAGCTGGAATCTCAAACCAAAGGCACTTTCATGCTAGAGTGCAGAAGAATCACAAATAGCTAAGTATTTGGTCATGAATTCAAAAGGCAACAATAAAAGTACAATTTACTTTTCATAGTAAACTAGAGTTGCAACCTTTTGTTTTGGTATAGACATTGGATTCAGTTTCAGATTTTAGACCAAGTCGCCAGTTTCCAATAGAACCAGAGAAAAACAGGTTCAAGGAGAAAAATAACAAAAACAAGTTTTTCTTGTCCTGTTCAAGACTGGGCCAGTTCGTGAGCAAACACTGAGATAGGTGTGAGGGGAGGCTGGCGGCACGACTAAGGTATGACTAAGGCACTGCTTACTGAACGCTTTGGCAGCTCTGAATTGAAAACTTCCTACAAAAGTAACAGTAGTGAGAGAAATGCTTCCAGCTTACAAAAGAGCTCACAGTTCTGAGGCAGCCTCTTGCACTGCAGAATCTACAAGCAATGCCTCCGAGATTTAAGGCTTTTCAGAAACGATGCGTGCAGGGCTTTGCCACAGAAACATCAACATAAATAAGCAATGCAGATGTCCCCCTAGTGTCACGGCGTGAACACCGACAGACAGAATGAGCTCCACCCTTCGTTAGGACATGTGTAGTGTACCAGAGCATATACAAAAGTATACAAATTATATGTACCTGGTTTGTAAAACTGGCTGTCATCTCAAATGGTTCAAATAATTCATAGGGGCTAAAGCCACCACAGTATTGAAACCTAAAGAAGCCTTGGGTTTAAAAGTCTCTTGAGGACTTTTAACACCAAGTGCTCAGGTCAGGGGCTGTTTTTTTGGCTGGTTTGAAGGCAGGCCTTTGCTGCTGCGATGCTCAGCAAATAGAAATTTGACGCAGAATCTGTGGCAGGTGAAATGTCCTCCTCACAGGAAGTGAAAGGCTCATCAGCTTTTCCTACCTGCTTGTGGATGCCTCAGAGACCTGGGCTGGCGGACGCATGTGCTGCTGCATCGCCCCCTTGTCTGAGCAATGCCTTCCTGGGGTCATGTAAGCATAGAGCACCGAGGAAGAACAGCCTCTACACAAGAGGCCAAGGATTAAGGAGGCAGAGCCCTAACGAGTCCTCACCTTTACTCTGTGACCAGCCAGCAGGGGGACCTGGGCAACCCATCCCACGTCCCCCAGGGGCACTAACCTTCTCATCCCCAAGATGAAGGACTAACTTGTGCTCTCTTTTAGCTCAATAAAGAAAAATGGTATCAATCCCTTTCTGCCACAGATCCTTCCCTCCTTCCATCAAGATGAAAAGAAACTGTTCTGGAGGTCTCAGGAAGTTCTAAACAGCACTGACTGAAGGCAGAATGTTGAAGGAGCCCAGAAGAAACACACTGAAGTGATGGAAAGTTTGATAATGACGCCCATGAGCTTATGACAATGAAAATTACTTTTTTTTTTTTTTTAACTCTTGCTAAACTCAGGGCTGAAAGTCAAATCAGAAAAACACTTTCTGAATAGGTATTAGTTGATAACAAGGATGACAGTGCCCAGCTGGCTTTTAATTTCCCCAGGGATGAACAAAAGAATACTTGTTGAGATTTATGAAGTTTCAAAGAGGAAACATGAAAACGATGTCACTTAATTATATTCCCACCTGCCTGCCTGTTGAGGACCCGAAATAAGGTTCCCAGGAAAGAGCTTTTGCAGGATGAAATGGAAGAGAAAACCATCACCAGTGTGCTAATATGACCCGAAGATTCAGGGTAGTCGCTCAGATTGGAAGTGATGTCGAAGCCCATGGGACATGTGGAAATGTCTGGGAACACTGTGACTTGTGACAACCGGGGGAAGGGGTACTACTGGATAGAGGCCAAGAAGACTAGCAACCCTCCTGCAATGCTTAGGGCAGCCCCACACAACAAGGGATTATCTGCTATGAAATGTCAAATAAGGTGGAAAAACCCTGGTTTCGGGATGCCCAGACACTCTTGAGATTCTGGACATGTTCTGAAGTCCTGGCTGTTCTTTAGATCTCTTACTGCAATGGAAATAATTGCCAACAGAAGAGAGTCCTGCTCCCCAGCTCCTCCCTATGGAAAACTGGCCTCCAAACTCTGCAGTGGGAGTGCAAGGTGCTCCTGCAAACGTGGTAGTGAGGGGCCTCAGGACAGAGAGCACCCAGAAGGGAACAGCAGTGGGCCAGGGTCTTGCAGAGGTGTGCTTATTGTTTAGGAAGCCTTTAAGACAAAAGAAGAAGCATATATGACAAAGGATTGAAGAGACTCAGATTAGAGATGAGGACACAAACCCCACGCAATGGTCTGATTTGGGAGAAGCAAAGAAAAGCCAGCTTGAGAGTCTGGGGTAACCAGACCAATGACTGTCCTGGAGAAATCCTTAGAATTTAAAATCTCACAGACATTTGTGTAACTTTCAGTGTTATTCACACAATCCCCCAAACCTCAACTGCAAGAGCACTGAGCGCAAGACCTGGGCAGTGAAGCCACAGTCATTCTCTAGCTGGTCTTCCTGAGTCCCTACCTTTCTGTGCTTTAGCAGGTAAACCCCAAGAGCTCCCTCTAGTAGGCAGAAGAGCCCCACTCCTGGTGAAACACGAACCAGGCATCTCTTCCCCCGAAGAAGTTAGCCACTTCATATGCACCAGTTCCTAAGTCCTTGTATTGGAAGTGGGTTCCCCTGATGAAAGATGCAGGAAATAGAGGCCAAAGAAGCATCCCTAAGAGGTGTGTTCATCACATGACTGTAGAAGATGGTTAACTAGTTGGGCTGAAGACCACATGAAGGGTGTGAGGTGCTAGGGCAATTCTCCAAAGCCCTGATTAGGACAGGGAACAAAGATAGTCTTGTTGGGGCAGGGGGAGAGGAGTGTGCCCTACTAGTTTATTAAACGACATGCATTCCTAATGAGAAAGTCTGCACGTCTTCCTCTGTGCTTCCCAGGGACTGTGGACTTCTGTGGAAGAGGCCAGGCTTAGTCTAGTTTTGGGCTGTTTGCCACAAGCTAGCTACACGGTCACACTCATGACTACAAGATCTGAACAATACACAAGCAAGGCCAGAGCAGGTGATGGGGCAAGGAAGGGATGGATGTGTAAGTTATTTGGATATGGTAGAACTCAGTTTTTATCTTCTAGCCTTGGTAAAAAATCTTGACTTCTTTATGACTTCCAAAGCAGATTTCATGTTCTATTGTGTTCACATATTCTTGACAGTTACAAAAACATCATTTTCCTCTGGAAAGTTGAGGGGTTGTCCCCTCTTCACTCCCACAGTGAAGCACTTATGGATATAACCCAAGACATGTGGCCACAGCAAACCAACCTTGCCTGGGTAATACTTTGGAATACTTGGACTGAAAGATGAATCTCTCCTGGAGAGAGAGACTGAGCCTGTTTGAAAAGGTCAGAGAGAAATAGCTGGGCCTCTTATACCTAAGTCAAACAAGTGCTTGTTGAGAGATGTGAAAGAAATGGATGTCCTCAGAGAGAATATATCTAAGTCTTCAGTTGCAGACCAGGAAGCAATACTTGTCAGCACCTTACAAACTGAGCGACACCAAACTGATGTTCAATGAGTGTTGAGTAACCACGTATGTGTGTAAGTGTACACAGGCATCTCACACACACACAGCCATAGTCACGCGGATTCCTATGCATGTTGGGTCACTAGAAAGGAAGGATTTATCCACAGGCTGGTGAGGATGCTTGCAGTTTTCTGGGGAGCAGAGATGCTAAACCTGATGAGCCTTTTTAAAATTTGTTTGGTTGACGAAATTTTCTCCCAGCCACAGGATTCTCTATCCTTTGCAGCTCACAGTGCAGTATTCATGCCAATTTAAAATTTTGCTATTAAATTTCAGTGGTTCAAATATTTACTCATCTTAATAAAAAATTTGGTTGTCCATATAAAATATAACTGCACACACAAGACTATAAACATTGTGAGTTTAGATTTTTCAGTATTTATCTACTTATTGCAAAAGAGCCATATCTTTTTCATTAAATAATCAATCATCACATTAGTACAATACAATTTTACATTTTTAAATATACTATATATGTTAAGGATAAGGGGTAAAATTTTCTTCCTTTGTAATATCTGTTCAAGAGTTTAATGGATTAGGAGATTAGTTTAAACCTTGAGGAAAAGTACAAATTCATCTCATTAGGATATTTCTACCAAGCATTTCTTAAGGCTATAGTTTAACATTTGGTTTCAAAAAGAAAGAAAGATTTCATTTAAAAAATAATTTAGTGAATTACATTCTTTCATAACTTCCACCCTAATTAGTTACAAAGATAAGTCTAGATTCTTAGTTTTGTGTACTAATTTACATTTATATTTAAAGATTAATTTTACTTGTATCTTAAAACAAGAATTTTATGTTGGAAAATGAGAACTAAATACATTTGTATAAAGGCAGTAAATGTCCCATGGCCAATGCTCTGTCTTAATATTTTCTACCATAATAAGAAACAGGTCTCCGCAGAGCGAGACTGGTTATTAAGGTTCACCTTTCCTGAAGAACTGTGGTCTGCAGATCTGAAGAACACATAGAAACAACTTGATTTCTCTTTTTTTACAACTGTACCAGAACTTCACAGCTACCGTGATAGTATGAACACATGAAAAAATGACTTCACTCAAACAGGATTTAGAAAAGTCGGGGTGACCTCAGGGCCAGGGCACCACCTGTGTGGTGAGGTTTACAGTCGTTCGATAATGGAGAGTGTGTGTGTGCACGTACGTACGTGTGTGTGTGTGTGTGTGTATATACAGATATCTATATATATAAATAACCATTTTCAGTCCTTTACAAGCCTGTAAATATGATGTTGTGCTCCATGTTCACTATTTGAAACTTCAAATACACAGGCCATGCAGAGGAGAGTTTCTTGTGTATCCCTGTTTGTTACCACCTGTTTAAAAGAAAGAAAAAGGTACAGTGTATCACACCATATAAATGAAGTCACAGCACACCTGTGCCCCCAGAAATGCGATATAACTGGAGAGGAGCAGTCGAAAGTCTGATTTGGTGGATCAGGTATCTGTCTGGTCTCTCACACATACGGAAAACTACAGGCCTCCCTCAAATGACCTGAGCCTGATACCATATGGACGAAAGATTTCACAGGCAAGGCTTCACCCAGCTCCTCTGAGCCTGAGAAGCGACTACAAAAGTAGGTCAGTTTGGATATTTGGATTTGTTTTTTTAGCAGATTTCTTTATTGTCACTGGGATTTCTATTATTCTGTCCCATAGGGCAATCATTTATCCTACCGTTACTGTTTCCTATGTTACTATTTTTTTTTTTTTTTGGTACCGGGAATTGAACTCAAGTCCTTGCGCTTGCAAGGCAGGCCACCGAACCGCTGAGCTAAATCCCTGGCACCCTATGTTACTATTTTAAAGTGACAAATAACAATAGAAATTTAGGGGGCAAAATGTGGTGTTAAGATACATGTATATATTGAGGAGTTTTGGTTAAATTAAGCTAATTAACACACTCATCACACGTCATATAACTTTTGTGGTGAGAGAATTTAATATTTTGTTTCACAACAGCCACTGACAGACACAAAGCTCCATGGGTGTGTTGCTCACCACCATAGGAACCAGCAGTTCCTGGACTCAGTGAGGTATCTGCTGCATAAAGAGCGCTAGTGCGGGTAGGATGAGGGCCAGTGAAGATCTCTTCCCTGAACACAGAATTTGTCTCCCAAACGCACCCTGCATTACCCATCTGCTGCCCTTCTTGAGTCATTCCTTCCATCCTCTCCTCTTCCTCCTCCTCACACCGGCAGCCTACGCCTCACTCAGACCTTGAGATCTCCGGCCCATTTTCCTGGGGCCCCTGTCCCTCCACAGCCGGCAGCCTCCCCACATCACCTCACCGTCTCAGGTCCCTGTGCCATCCCCAGGAAGAACCTTCTAAAAGCAAATACAATCAAATGCCCCACCCAAAATTCCTCAGGGACTCTGAATTTTGTGTCTGAAAACATTTTAAATCTGAAAGCCTTGCCTGGCTTGTCTAATTTAAATTTGCCAATAGATCAGGCTGCTTTAGCCCTAAAGTTGTTCTTGCCCATAAAGCTTCCAAGTTTATGGTCTTGAACTAAAGCTCTGATTTTCCCTATGCACTTGTGATATATCTAGCTGGA